TCTGAAATTTCATCAATTTTCTTTCTGAAGTAAAATCGATATAGCAGTAAGCAGTGAAATGCGCAGTATTTTGTTACATGATATGAAAGAGATTTTTATGAGAAAATTAGTTAAATACTCTAGCCAAGCAAACCTCATCAAGGGCCACAGCTAACTCGAACGGTGATAAAAGCGGCTTCGGGAACTCTACGCCCCAATCAATGGATAATCGAGGACACGCAACTTGAACCCAGCTGAAATAGCTATGTGCCGTGGATCCAAGAAGTAAGTCAAAACTCAAAATTACCAGTCGACTTCCTCGAATTTCGCCAACTTGTCGGGAAAGATCTCAGATAATAAAACTCGAACAAACTTTTTATTCTTTGACTCTAAACGTCGCTCCAGCTCCTGTAACAATTAGTCTTAAAGAGTTGAAACATCTCATCCTCTTGAGAAATATATAGAGACATGAGAAACACTCCCTCAATAAAAAGGAAGTTTCTGAGTGGAAGGATACCTCTACAATTTTGATATTTCCTTGACGACCAAGGGTTCCCTGAATAAGACCAAATGTTGTACATTTACGTGCCACGTCAACTGCTTCTGTAAAACGTAGGTATATCAAATAAAAAGGCAATACGCGTAAAATTCGAGGTAAGTTAATCCATATGAGACTAACTCTTCCGATTTTTCATCAAAACATCGAAGTCATAATGTTCTCGAGTGAACTTTCTTGAATATGGATCATACTGATAAGCTTTTACGGCTGGATTATGGATCATCAACGACTCCAAATGAAATCTGCCATCGCCAAGATACCTAAAAATTAAAAATTGAGTAATTGTAGTTAAGCATATCAACGCTCCAAACACGCACACAACGGCGTCACAGCTATCGCCTAGTTGCGGAGATGTACATCCAAGAATTTCCCCAGGACTTAGCGGCTTGCATTGTGGTAGTATAATTTCCAAGCCACTTTCTTCAAGAGACTTGCGAGCCGCCTGAAAGGTATGAGAGATTGTGTTAACTAACTGGTAGCGGAAAAATTTACCTGGAGTGATGAAACAAACTGGATAGTGCTGACTAGTCCAACTTTGCAAGGAGGATTGAAGTTGTCACGAATGCAATCAACAAAGTGGCTTATGTTGATGTTTATACTAACGAAAATGTATAACAAAGCGATTCCTTCAGTGTTCTGGATAGGCACAAGGCAGCTGTGACCATAATGAACGAGAAGATCACAACCTGAATATCGACAAAAATCTGACGCGCTTTCTCTTCAGTAAAGCTTCGGTGGAACGACTTAAATAGCGTTTCAAAATATTAAGAAATCTGGCATGGAATTAAGGTCCTTCTAGTGAAAATGGCTGTAGAAAATAATCG